AGCGCGGGGCGGGGGCCAGGAAGAGACTGTGGGGTCAGAAGGAAGACAGCTGAATGGGAAAAGGGAAAAGGGAAATTTGGGAACAAGCTATCCCAGGCCAGAGCCATCTTCCTCTTCCAGCTCTGAGCCCACCTCCACCGCCACCCCAGCCTCATTTCTTTAACCCTGGGTCAGAGCATGCTGCTCCCTTTACTCATGGCTTCCCCTTTCACGGTGCAGTGGAGTTCACACTAGCCAGTGTTCAGGTAGATGGAAAGGTTGCCACTACCCCACCTCTCTGGGGACTCTCCCATCTTTGCCAAGTTTCCCCTTTTACATATTTTGCCCATTCTATGTAGTTGGAGTCTGGTTCCTAGGCCAATGCCAGTCATAGCTGAGGGCACAGGAGAGCAGGTGGCTGTGCAAAGCCACTTCCAGGCTGTGGACACAGGCCTGAGTAACGGGAAACCTGCCAGTGCCCATCCAGCTTTGACCTGGCTAGGGCAGCTTTGGGTCAAGGCCTCTCTGTAGTCCTGTTTTCCACCATCATCAGGATGTGCCAGGTAAGGGAACTTCCTGCCTTACCCAGGTGTCTGCATTACAGCCAAACTTCATAAGGCCCTACATTAGGACCTATCATCCTTTGTCATGTGTGTGTAGCTTGAGTTAAATAGAATCTGAAAGATTTGCTGCAAAGAAATAATACATGTCTCAAGGCTTAATGTTGTGGATCTATGGATTCTCCACTGGTTGGAATTTTTTGCTACATCATTTTCTGTCATCAACATGATTGAGAGAGTTGACTGGACTTTCTTTCTTGTTGAGGTTGTCTTTCCAGATATGAACATTGCTGTCCTCCCCCTCCTCCCAACCACCTGCACTTGAATGTGTATAAGCAGTAACTAATACCCTTCAACTCAGTTTTGTTGATGGGTCCACACTCTTAGCATTCCTGGGCAATGCTATCCTGGATCTGGGATTCTAGGGCACCAAGACTAGGATCATTTGAATGGTTTGCTTCAAAGTCAAGAGCTCAATGCAATTGACCCTTGAATAACGCAGAGGTTAGGGCTGCTGACCCTCCTCCCCTGCACAGTTGAAAATCCATTTGTAACTTTTTTTTTTAAGATTTTATTGGGGAATTAGGAAAGGGGAACACTGTGTTTTTCCAGGACCCATCAGCTCCAAGTCAAGTTGTCCTTCAATCTTAGTTGTGGAGGGCGCAAGCTCAGCTCCAAGTCCAGTCGCTGCTTTCAATCTAGTTGTGGGGGGACGTGGCCCACCATCCCATGTGGAAATCGAACCAGCGACCCTGTTGCTCAGAGCTCGCCCTCTTAATCAACTGTGCTGCCCGGCTGGCCCCCATGTATAACTGTGACTCTCCAAAAACTTAACTACCAATAGCCTGCTATTGACCGGAAGCCTTACCGATAACAAAAATAGTCAATTAACAACTATTTTGTATGTTATATATTATATATATTATATACTGTATTCTTAGAATAAAGTAAGCTAGAGAAAAGAAAGTGTTATTGAGAAAATCATAAGGAAGAGAAAATACATTAACAGTATTTATTGAAAAAAATTGCATGTATAAGTAGACCCGTGCAGTTCAAAGCCATGTTGTTCAAGGGTCAACTGTATAGATATTCATTTATTCAGGAGATATTCGTTAAAGACTTCTTTTGGACCAGGTACTGAGCTAGGTCTGAACATACTAAGATGAAGATAACACGGTTCTTGCCCACGGGGATTTGTAGTCCATAGGGGAAAGCAGATCTATAAGCTGAACAGGCACAGGTACTTCTGTGAGGAAAGGAACAAAAAGGAGGAAGTGGTCTCCAGGGGTCCAGCAGTCAGGAAGGGCTTCGTAAAGGGAGCAGACATTTGATTTGTCTTAATGAGTGTTTGCCAGATGGACTATGGAACAGGCATGCCAGGAAGAGGGAACAACATGAGTAAAGGCTGGGTGCGTTGAGGAAACTTGGAGCAGTGTGATCCTGCTGGAGTGGGTGGTGAGAACACGGGGCGGACACACAGGCAGGGAGGGGCTTGGCATGCCTGCAGATGGGGCAGGTGGTGCGGGCCAGGATTTTAGATAAGGAGTCTACTTTCTTATCCTGTGCTGTTGTCGAACCAGAGTGTCTAATTCCTGTCCTTTAAAGACCAGGTGGGGAGAAAAAGTACTAGATTCCAATAGCCTCTCCCATCCTTGGCGATTATTAGGGAGGAAGCTTGCAACTGGTTGCCTTTTTATATTTTCCCCTTTGTCCTGAAATAATAAATAGGCTTGTGTTGTGCTGTTCTGTCTAGTGGGATTTTGTGTCTGGATCACAAAGCAGCCCTGCTGTGCAAAAAGGTGGGGGGGGGGGGAAACACCCCGCTGGCTGTGCTGCTATTGCTGCAGCCCCAGCAAGGGTTTTGCCTGCGTGGGAGAAATGAATTTTTTATTGTTACTGCTTTTTATTAAATACTTTGCCACCCTCCCCCCCCAACTTTGTAAATTTATTAATCTTTTCTCGAGAGAGTCTTAAATGAATAGAAAATATATTGCAATATTTCATTGTACAGAGGCACACTGTTTTCTCCATATGAAACAGAAAGGGTTTGGGGACTATGCCTTGCCTGTTTTCTTCTGATGCTTTTGCATTTATGTCCTGAAATCATCTTTTAGTCTAATGGTTTGATTGAATCATATATTTCAATTATAGCTTAGTGGTTGTGTTTTGGGACCTGGCTCCGGTGATCAAGTGGATGATGGGTGAGGGAGGGCAAGATGCTGCAGTGTTGTCTAAACGGAAGCGGGAGCCTGGTGCCTGAGTGTGGGGGGCGGGGGTGGAGTGGAGGGAATTGACTCACCAGGATGACTTTAGGCGACAGGGATGGCGCTGTTCATTGAAGTGGGGCATGCTGAGGAGGAGGTTTGCGGGGAGAGATCAGGCCTGTTGAGTGTGAAGGTTTATCAGACACTCACATTGGTTGGGTTGGATAATCAAGTCCGGAGATTAGGGGAGAAGCCTGGGCTGATGAGACCGGTTTAGGTGTCATGAGCCACCAAGGTGCCACCTGAAGCCATGGGGAGGATGAGAATGCCTGAGAAGGGAAGAGGGCCTGGGAGGGTTAAGGAGGAGAGAGGCCCAGGAAGATGGAGATGATGCTGGTGAAATACAGTGCCCAGCTTTCCAGGAGGCTGATGGCAGACTGGAGGGGCTGTGTGTTGGGATTCTTGGGCCCAGCCTTGGGTGAACTCAGGACACACAGAAGCGGGGGTACTTGGTGCTCTGCTAGCATATGCCTGAGCCCCGAGTATGGTCCTCAGAAACTTGTGTTGGGACAGGGACGGCTGACCCTCACCCAAGTGTCCTGCCTTTGGTTATGTGGTTGACCTCTCGCACGATCCTTGCATGTGCTCACAGGTCATTTCCCAAATACATCCAGTAGTTTTCATATATGTTCCCCATTAGAAGCTCCTCCATTGGGATAAACCACGTCACTTTCACTGGCTCCTTCTCAAAATCCAGCCAGGGAATGCTAATCAGTCATGTTTATGCATAAACTGTTTTGTTAAGCCTCTCTGTACCTGGGTGCTAGCCATGGTGAGTGGGGCTTTGGGGGGGGGGGGATTGGCACCTGGTGGGAGCCCGGCCGAGTGTCTTTGTTGGCTAGAGGGATGTTAAGTTTTCCCAAGCTGAGTGAGGTCTTAGGGCATCAGTCTCAGTCCTGGCACTGGCTGCCTTGGTAATTAAGAGTGTGGGCCACAGGTAGAGGGCGGAGGCCTGATGGCAGGTTTCCAGGCAGGCGCAAAGCATATGACCTGGCAGCTTCTTAGTTCATTGAGAAATCCTGGTTGGTGCTTGCTTTTTTTTTTAAAGGGTTTTATTGGGGAATTGGGGGAGGAGAACAGCGCTGAGGAATGGGGGAAGGGGAACAGACAAGTTGCTATCGTTTTGTTCTTCAGTCTAGTTGTGGAGGACGTTGCTTCACTGGCCCAAGTTGGCACCATCATTGTGCTCTTCCTGGGCGAGGCAGATCAGTCGCTGGCTTCTGGACTGCCGCTCACTGCGGCTGCTGGCCACTCATGCTGGCTGCTGGCTACACGCGGTAGCCCATGGCAACCCACTGCCACAGGGGCTGCAGCCTACGCCGTCGCCGGCGACTCACGGCAGCCCAGCTCCAGGTTGAGCTGTTGTTCAGCATCTTAGCTGTAGAGGGCAGTGTCACTGGCCCTCATATGTGGGATCTGAACCGGGGCCCTCTGGCGTCCCAAGCCAGTTCTTAACCAACGCACCACTCGGCCGGCCCTGGTGCTTGCTTTTTGTCTGCCCTGTGCTCATTTCTCATTTCCTGTTGGTTGGTATCTGCATGAGCAGGTGTTTGACTCTCCTCTCCAGCGCCGATTCTCTGCCACTTCCCACCATGGTCTGCTTTCTTTTCACCCACACCCCTGCTCCTTATTCCATCTCCCCAGGCTCACTTCCTGCCTCTTCTACTCCCTGAAGACCCCTTGGTGAGGAAACCCAGCTGCCACCTGTCCTGAGATTACTGTAGCTCCTTTAGTGGCTTCATCCCAGCCCCAAAGACCTTGGTCAGCTCTCTGTCCTGAGATCGTGTCTCACCCGGCGTTAGGTTGCCTGGACTCTACCACCATGTAGGCCTCAGCCACATACATCAGCCAAGATGGGTCCAGGGCCCTGAGATACTACAGGTGGCTGCCATCATCAAACTCAAATGAGGGGCCTCAAAGGGCCCTCAAAAGTGATTGTGAAAGTGGACAGAGTAGTTTGAAGGAAGCCTGAGTTTTACTTGCTGGTTTGATTTTTTTTTAAAAAAAGGTACTTTGCCTGGATTTGCCTTCAGGATGGGGGAACCTTCCCCAGCCCCCTTTTCTTTCTGGCTTTAATCCTAGGATCTGGGATCAAAGAGCTGCTGTGTTGAGCATCACTGAGCAGACAGGAAGGGACAGGAAGGCTGTGGTGCAGATGACCCTAAAAAGGGAAGGGGGCAAAGGAGGGAACTTGGGCAGCACAGCCCCCACTCTGAAGCTGCTGGGGATGGCCTGCCCCCAGATTTTCAACCAGGTGTCCTGGGGAGGCCTCTGGCCTGGGGTGAGCTTGGGTTGCATCGCCCAACAGTCCCCATCCCTTGCAACTCGAAGGTAAATAAGGGGTGGGTTACAGCAGATCAGAGCTAATTTACCACCAGGTCTCTCCCTTCTGTCTTCATGCCATCACCTGGGCTAGGCAAAATACCTTTTCTTGCTCCCTTTCCAACTCAGGCATCCCACGGGAGACAGAGATGGCCAGTGCATCCCACGTGTCAGCATGCAGTTCTGCCCGCTGGGGGCTGGCACCCTGATTTCCAAAGGATACAGAGGAGTCAGGTCAGTTTCCGCACTTGAAGTGTAAAGCAGATGACTTGGAATCAGCTCTCGGAAAAGGATAATTCTTTGTGCCTGAGAGAGAGCAAAGCCAACAGGGAACATGTGGCAGAAAGAGATCAATTTGTTAATATTCCCCTTCTCTGCACCAATCCCGATTTAGAACACAGCAAGGCAGTTTTCCAGCCATATAGCCCATGCGTGAGGAAGACAGAAATATACCTTCTATCTTCCTCCTGCCAGTGCAGCAATAAGATGTAGGTCTGATGGGCTTGTTAAGAGGCTGCTATGCCCAAGGTAGATTCAGCTGTTGGTCTGATATCGCCCAAAGGACTTCAGTATGTGTAGAATGGGTCTCCCTGCCCCTTAATGAAGAAGTGATCAGGAACAGAGAACCTGGGATCTGAGATCCATCTCCCCTTTATTTCTCCAGCTAATGTGAGTGAAAAAGGACTGGCTCTAAGGAAAAGCTGTTTGCTGGCAAATGGTGACGAAGAAAAGAATAGGGTAATGGATAGTTCAAAAGTAGCCTTGCCACTCCTGCACATAACAGCCACCATGGCTGTGTGCTTTGAGGAGTAAAGGGATTCCTTGTTATAAGGAGAGCGCATACTGTTCTCTGAGAACCATGCACCTCTGCCTTCGGCCCAGATGCCCTCAGGCCCCCGCCAGTGAACTGAGCAAGCTCCAGCCTCAATCTGCATAGCCTCACAATCCTGACCTCCTTAATAATTAAGCTCTCTGCTCAACGCCGGCCCTCCATCCAAAAAAAACCCCACCAGAATTTCAGATCTGCAGCACTCGCTAAAACCAAAAGGAGCTTGCTGCCCTCCTTGGTGCTGGGGTGAGGGGATAAAACAAAAGGAGAATCTGTGGCCCTGGTCCTCTCTCCCGCAGAGGTGGGCCAGCATGGTCCTCCACCCTGGGAAGGGAACTTGGCCTTAGAGAAAACTCTTTAGCCTTCTGGAAGTGACCGAGCCAAGCCTCTTTGGCTCTCTCTCCCACGCGTCTTACTAGTGGGCTCTGAGACCAAAGCCTTTGTCTGGGGGTTAGAGTTAAGTGGAGGAAGTAGCGTGCTGTAAGGAAGGCATTGCTGGGACTTGAATCTGGGCAGCGTATGCCTGCTTTGATCCAGGCAAAACTGGCTTATAGAAGAGAACACAGTGGAACTGCACCCGTGGAGGCCCCACCCAGGTGCTCAGGGGGCTCAGGTCTGTGTGGCCGCAGCCCTTTTCGGGTCAGGAGAGCAGGGTCCTGCCTTCATCCCAGGGTGGATTGCTCTGGGAAACGGGGGTTCCCTCCCGTGAGTCTCCTCTCTGAGCTCTCTGAGGTGAAAGACAAAGGAAGCTGCACTGCCAAGCTGCAGATTTTGCCTCAGGCAACTAAATTTATTAGCAAGAAAAAATTTTTATCAGCCCGGTGCTGAACAACAAAGTACATCGTTAATAAAGGATACCAAATCTGTCACTTAATTCATAAAACATACCTCAAGCAGTTACAACTAAAAATAAAGTTGGATTTTGTTTAATTTAAAAGCCTCAAAAATAACAAGCAATATGTTTTTAAACATGTAGTAGACACAATCGTCTATTATACAATATACACTGTACATAGTAGAGCTTGGGCAGGTAGGGGTGAGATGAGAGGAAAGGAGAGAGGTTCAGGCTGTGAAGTTTTTATCTGAATCTAGATTCGAATTGAAATGCTGTGTCATTTAGAAAAGAGACTTGCTAGAGTGAGAAAAAAAAATTAATATGCTCATCATTGCCCCCCAAAACCCTAAACTGAAAGCTCGCATGGGGGAGGTGAGTAACAAGGACAGGAAGAAGGGAGCAATTAAATAAAACTTTAAAGCACACACAATACACAGTGTTCATCATCTGAAGTAGAGTATAAGGCAACGTTCTCCATAGAAAAAGGAGGATCAGGGAGTCCATGGGTAGCTTTACTTTTTAAATAGAAAGTTGGAATGTGCTGGAGAAGAGTTGTGGCAGGGCTGGGGCATGTGGAGTAGAGGCGGCCTCTTGAGCCTCTCTGGAGGTGGATGCCAGCGGTGCCCTGGGTGCAGGGCCCGGGGCGTCTGAGGTGGCCAGGGGGCCAGGGAGGTGCAGGAGAGAGGGGCATGGCACGATGACGCGACTCCGGCAGTGTTGGGAGGTGGAGGGGGCTCACTTTGCTCCTCGACGGAGTGAAATCTATGTTTTTCCTTTGGAAATAAGGGTTCCCGCTCGTCCTGGTTTAGAACGTCTCATTGGGCATGGCCCGTGTCCACGGTCTGGTGAGAGGGAAGGGCCAGGGCAGAGCCAACAGGCTTCAGGAGGCGAGTATGGGGCAGCAGAGCCCCGTCCTGAGGGGACAGTCGCAGAACAGGAGAGAAGGGCTGGGGGTGAGCCCAGTGCAGCCACTGGCCTTTTCCACCAGCGGCCCAGGCAGGACAGACGGGGGGCTCCATCTTCGGGGCTTCCTGCCTCAGTTGGCCTTACAAGTTCTTCGTGACCAGGTGGGTCTTGTAATGCTTGGTGAGGTGGTCACTCCTCATGAAGCGCTTCTGACACTGGGCACACTCGAAGCGTTTGTCCCCTGGGAAGAGGAGATGCCCATCACTCACAGAGCCCATGTGCAGACACTGTCCCAGCCCCGACAAAGGAGGAGCACATGTGAGATATGAGGGGTACCCTGTAAAGCCGATGTCACCTTGTCATCTTACTCTGCCCACTTCCTGCTCACACACTTGCTCCCTATGGTCTATTGACCCTCTGGTTGGTTCTCATTTCTCTGCACCCCCCTCCTTTGACGTCGCTCTCCATTCTGCTTTGTTCCCGTTCATCCCTTGTCTGAAACGCTATACTTGTGCCCCACACCCAGGACTCTTCCCATGTAAACTGTCACCTGCTTTCTTTTGAGCTTTGTCCCTCTGTCTCCCTCTCTGGCTCAACGCCTTCCCCCGGCAGGAAACGCCCACTCCGCTCTGACCTGCCAGCCCCCAGCACTTAGTTCAAACCACACTGACTGGGCCAGGCCAGCTGCTGTTCTGAGTATTGATTCTTCAGCCTCTGAGGGGTGGGCGTGACCCACACCACCACACGGGTCCCCATCCCCAGTCCCAGGACAGGGGTCAGCTCATGGGGGGGCATTTACTACAGCAGCCGTTCTCAAAGCACGTGCTGTGTGTGGACCACTGGAGACACCCAGGACAATTTTAGGTGGTGGATGGATGAATATTTTTCACTTTTATAGTTTTGTATTTATTTGCCAGTGCATTAAAACATATAACTATATCAACATTGTGATGTCAAAAAAGAATAGTAATTAGACATAAATGAGTAAAAAATAGTAAAACGATGTCAGGAAAATCAGTAAATAGTAGTAGGAAAGGCAGTGTGGGGTAGTGATTAAGAAGTGTGGCCTTGGAGGTCAGAGGGCCTGCAACTGAACCCAGCTCCACCCGTCACTAGCTGTGTGACCTGGCCACCTCGCCGCGCACCTCAGTAAAACAGGCATAATCCAAGTTTCCTCCTATAGAATCGTTAGGAGGATTAAATCAGTCAATCTGCGGGGCCGACTGAGTGGCTCAGTTGGTTAGGACCTCGCTCATGAGTGCGAGCTCTGAGCAACTAGTGGTTTGATTCCCGACCCGAGCTGAACTGCTGCTGAGCTGCCAACAGGTGGCAGGGTGGCTCAGCTTAAAACAAACACAAACAAAAAAAAACCCCATAAATCAGTCAATCTGCAAAGTGCACAGTCCAGTGCCTGGCACACTACGTCAGTGTTTGTTAAATAAGTAACTACGCAGAAGTCATCAAGGCTACGTAATGCAAACGACATCACTTTGGGAAAAACTGTTGACAGAATGGCTTGAAAGAATTTTCTAGGTAGTCCTGGACCCCTAAGAAGGCAGTCTGTGGCTCTCGCTCAGTGTGGCGGTTCCTTGGCAGGGCCAGGAATCTTGATGTCGCTGAGGGCTGTGGAGTGGGGGTGAGGTGAAAGGCCTGGAGCAGACCCGGGTGGGTGCTGGTGTGCCAGGGGAGGGGCAGGGGGTGAGGAGCCCCGTGTGGGTGGCAGTGTGCCGCTGCAGAGGGGAAGCAGACCTGTGTGGGTGCGGGCGTGCCGCTGGAGCTCGTCACTCCGCGTGAACCTCTTCCCACAGAAGAACCAGTTGCAGACAAAGGGCCGCTCGCCGGTGTGCAGGCGCACGTGGGCCCGCAGCAGGGACGTCTTCCGGAAAGTCTTGCCGCAGTCGGGGATGTGGCACACGTGCTTCTTCTTGCCCTGCTCTCCAGACCTGAGAATGGAGGTGGAGGGAAAGGGAAGAGAGGAGTGAGGGAAGAGGTAGAGGATGGGGGCAGAACCGGATGGAGAGAGGCTGTGGGGTCCGGTCAGCGAGCACAGGAGAGGGGAGGGGGCCAGGTGGTATGGAGATGTGACCTCGTACCCTCGAGGTCTGTGTCCAAGGAAGAGGCTTGGGGAACAGGGCACGTGCCAGGCTGGCAGTCTGGCTCCGCCCCTCCTGTTACCTCTTGTCCCCGTCCTTGCAGTTGGGACATGTGCAGGCCATGCGGCGCCGCTTCTCCCCGGGCTGGGCCTCTCCAGACAGGGCCTGCTCCATCTGCAGCTGGATCTGGGTGGGGCTCAGCCCACTGATGGTCAGGTTGTTCCCAGAAACATTCTGCACTGTCAGCTGCTGCTGCCCTGTGGGAAGAGGGGGGCAGGGTTCCGAGTGAGGAAGCTGGAAGGGGCAAAGAGGAAGCCTGACACCCTCCTTCCCTTCTGCAAACGATAAGGATGATAATCATAGTCAGCCTGTTATATGCCAGATACCACTTTAGGGCCTTTAAAGTGTATTAACTCATTTAACTTTCATAATCCTATGAAGTAGGTACTATCATCCCCCTTTCACAGTTGAAGAAACTGAGGCTCAATAACATATCAAGGTCACACAGCTAGTAAGTGGGAAGACCGGGATCTGGACCCAGGTGGTCGACTTCAGAGTCGGTTCCCTGAACCACTACACCACACAGGCCGAATCCACTTTCAGACGCTGCCCACATATTTCAGTTGGGAAGGGTCTTGTCTTGGGCTGTCTTGGAGTGTTTCTTCCAGAATCTCCTCCAGCCTGAGGCCTTTGTAAGATACCAAATCTGCTCTCAGTTAAGTGTTCCACGGATTTTTGTTAATAAGAGTAAGAAAACAGTTCTATGGGCTTTGGAAAAAATCAAGTATTCTAGGACTTGCAGAAAGCCAGTCAAAGCAGGGGAGTGTCGCTGACCTACTACTGGTGTTAAAGTGCCACTACCCTGGGCCGGCCGAGTGGCGCGATGGTTAAGAACTCGCTTGGGATGCCAGAGGGCCCCGGTTCGGATCCCACATATGAGGGCCAGTGACACTGCCC